CAGCGGGTTCGTTGTCACTTGTGTCGAAATAATCCAGCATTTCGATGTCCTCGTCATGGTGGGAATTTTCGCTGCTGGTGTTTTCCTCTAGAGTCATGGTTAGAGCTTTAGGAGAAATAGTGCTTACACTTGAGCTTACCTGTGCTCATCTTGTCTGCACTATCATTCGGCAAGCTCAGTCTTGTCATGCGCTGAACTAATTTATCAACAGCGAGGCAAATGGCTACTGCGGCGGTATGATATATCGACTTTGCGATTCAAAAAGGCCTGCGTTTTAGGATATTTATAGGGAATTGTTAAATTTCAAGTATTTGTTTAAACTATCATACTTAGCGCTACATGATGTAGTCCAGCTACTAGAGACAGCGAGGGTTCAGCTTCCAGTGCAACAGTAAATGGGCAAACTGCAGCCATGCATGTCTGCGCTGGTCCATTAGGCAATCATTTTTTGTTTCAGCTGGTAGCTTGAAAGAGTTAATATTGATTAAAGTAACATTTTAAACAAACTGGCCACAAGATTTGTCACCAGCCATTGATGGTTATTGTTGTAAATTGAGTGCTGACGGCAGCCCGCTCCCAAGCAGTTGCCATTATGCTATCATAATCTGATTCAGCTATAAAAATTCTGAAATAAAGTCTTAGCCAGGAGGACGACGTGCGTTATATCTGTGAAATCCTGCTCCGTCCCATCTGTCGCATTGAAGCTTGCATTGTACGATGCTAAATTGGTGGTGCTGGATAGGCTAGCTAACTTTAGCCTAAACTGCTGGCAAAGATCGTCGGCGTACTGAGAAACCGAGAGCTAGACGAAAGCTGCCTCGGGACCGAGCTTTGAGCCTTTCCCGGACATTTGTTCCAATAAATGCCACTCAGACTATTCCAGAGACTTGGGAAACTACTTTAGTCGCTTGGGTGTCATTGCTCCGGGCTACAAGACTCCCACCTAACAAAGCCATTACGGCGCTCAACTTGAATGCACCTGTGCAGCGCATTGACAGAGTGATCGCAGGGGAATACAAAAATACTCTACCACCAAGATTTGGATGCGTACGCTTGTTTGATTTTTTGGAATGTCTCAAATTCAGAGTAAAACGCGACAAAGCGGAGGGATTAATCGCACCAAAAAATGGTCATGTTAACGCAGCCCATGCCTACAACATCTATCGCAATGCTCAAGGTATCATTCCGGCCAAGTATAACTTGCGACTTTATAGGCAGATAGGTGGGAGGTGGAAAAAACTTACAGGATCCTCTATTCTTTTACTGACGATTTTCTCTAAAACAGCGGAATCCTTTGCGTAGGTGCCTCAGCATTAATTTATGACAAGTAGATGCTGATCAATCACAGGATGTACCGTGCAAAAGCCGACAACAGCACCTTCGATCAAATGGCTTTTGATGCGCTGCGAGATATCCCAGAGCGAATTCGGGTAGTTTGCGACCATCTCATGGCACGGGTCGAACAGGCAGTGGACTCGGGCATGGCCGGAAGTAATCTTTTGGAAGGAGATATAAGAGCTCAAGTCAAGATGTATTTAGCATAGCTTCTAGTTAATCGTACGGAACGGAGACCTATAACAGTTCTGCCACACTACCACCTGGCGTTTTGTGTTTGTAGTAAAGGTCAGCAACCACTGCGAGATGGTTGGGATGCAGCACGCGCACTAGCTTTCTTGTGTGGACATCGTATTGCGAGTTTTACAAATGCATCAGCACCAAGCTATTCGTTTTTTTTTTTAGAATACGTGCTCTAGCGTCTGCTGTCCATGGCCTTGCATATTCTTACTCGTGTCGCGCTTGAGCAGTTACATTGATTCTAGTTCCGCATTAAAATAAACCTGGTGCTAAGTGCGTTATTTGAACCATCTAAAATAGCATACCTATGTCGAACTCCCTATAAATACGGTGCAGCATTCTAGGAGCAGAAGAGATATTTTGGAGTACTTTAGTTTCCTAAGTTTGTGGAGGAACCAGCCGGTATGTCTCTGCAGTCCATGCTTAACCCGGCAGCCGCGCCGCCGTCGACAACGGCGGTGCAAGATCGTTTGACAGCAACCGAACACTACTCTATGGCATGAAGCTGAATTCAATAAGCTACTGGGCAATTAAAACCACACTGAAGTTTTCAGTCTATATTTAGATTATGTTTTATGAAAACCAAAAAATACACTCTTACTCAACGTGTACCTACCATAATTGTATCGAATAAAAGTCAAAGCCTCCTAAATCTAGCAATGCTTGTGGAATAATAGCATGAAGCTACTTCTTTGCGACGATGCAAGGATCCCACTACCTTTTCTCATAATTTCAAACTTCTCATCTTTCAGATTCACAACCTCTTCTGTTGCGCATGAGAGTCTAAAAGCTTTAATCTGCCGCCGTAAATTATCTTCATTCGGGCCTCAAGAGACATTCTTTCACACAATCCCTCAGCCCACTCTTTAGTATGTCATCAGGGGACGAATTGTTGGCAGCCTCATGTTCGGCAATAATGGATAGCTCGTGGCAAACGTTCTTCAGCTCCTCCGGCATATCATTTGAAGCCTTCAGAACCAGGCTTCGAAATGTGTTGTTGTCTGCTTTTGAAGGGTATTTTCTGCGCAATATTAGCTATAATTTTTGGCTTGAGGTTTGAATGCGCTTACGCAAAGGATTCCGCGGTTTTGGAGAACGCTAGCAATAGGAATGGTGAGGAGCCAACAGCGTCTTTCCAGCGGTTTCCTATGAGTCTGAGACGACGCAAACGGCTTGTGGTGGTGGGGTTGTCTTGCGCGTTACGATAGAACTCATATGCTAGTGCAGCATTGGTAACGTGATTTTTTGCCTCAATAAAGCCACACTTTTTATCCCGCTCTATTCTGCTCTTCAGTGATCCCAGAAAGTGGAATAGATGTACATGTCCAAATCTAGGAGGAAGGTATGGGTCATCCTTGCCGCTAATGACTCCGTCTAGGGCACGTACAGCCGGGGCGAGGCTGTCGACTGTAAGCGGGACACTCGGCATTATTTGCGTAATGCTCAAAAGCGTTGTCCAGGCAATGAACGTCGGCTCCCAGGTTCGCGCAAAAAATTGTGTCGCATCGAGTCGTACAAAGTTCCTGCTGAGCCCAAGTGCCACATCCGATAAAGCTGATGAGTCTATCTACCTGGTTAGTCGTAATAAAGCGATATGCATGCTTAACTTTGGATGCCTAAAAGCTGCAACAAAACATGCGATCACGCGCCTTGTAAAGAGACTTCGTTGCAATTTTCTTCGAAGAAGTCCGGCGTTTCGATGTCCTCACTGCCGTGGAAGCTGCCACTATCGGCGTTTTCATCTAGGGACATGGTGACTGTTTCACAGGAGAGGGTGTTGCTCTGAAAACTCAGTGCCGTCATGTTAAGATCGTTTAAACTAAGGCAGCGCAAACCATTGCCATGACGAGAGTTCTGGCAATTTTTAGTTCTCAATATAAAATCACAAACCAAAAGTTGGCCTTTGGCATATGTGCTATATATATGTGTCCGTGGTTTTTAGTTGACTTTAACACGTTTATTCGGGCGTGCTAAATTAAATGCGTGATTCGTGATGGCTGGCTAGTACAAGCCAGAGAAACAAATGTGCTGTATGTAGTTGCTGGTAATGTCCATGCATTTGTTTGATAACTTAGTGCTAGCCGATGCAGGTAGTTGCTGGCAATGCTTCGAGACCTAACGAGCAAGGCTAATTCTAGCCTGTTTATTTTAATGGTGGTTGCTGACAACTTATTCAGCTTCTAGGCTGGCAACTAGACGCTGCTGGGAGTTGTAATTTAGTGAGTGCTGGCACATTGATGAGCCTGTTGCTGGTACCCTGACCGCTAAAGTACTGGTACCAGGTAGGCGCTGGCAGTGTTCAAGTGCAGGCTGCTGGTACTAGCTAGGCGCTGGCAACTTACGCTAGTGAGCTGCTAGGATGTGGCGGGCGCGCCAGTAACTTGTTGCAGCCAGTTGCCAGTATGGAGAGCTCGGCGTTACATTTCGTTGCTGGTACCTACAGTGGGCTACGGGTGGGTTGCTAGTACTTATTTATTTATTTATTTATTATTTATTCATCAAATCATAGACTGTCCCAGCTGCCTTCTGGCGGCTATGCAGCGCACAACTATAGACAAATTGCTCCCACAATCCGGGGGATTTGTCTCTCTTGCCGGAAAATTATGCCTGCCAAGCGGTTCCTGCATGAGAGATTCGTCCCTGTCAATCGACGGGACCTATGGTTGCTCTTCGCCTACAGCTATTCTATCTGTTCTGTCTCTTTGAACTTGTCAGGCCTTTCCTGCCCCTCCTCAATCTCTATATAACCAAAATCACTCGTCTACGTTTTGTATTGGAGTACGGTGGACGGGACTGCTCGAAATTGTCCTAGCAGTCCCGTCCTCAGGATCATTTTTGCTGCAAGCACTGCGGTTGACGAGCTACAGAGAATGCGTTTTAGATCAACGCACGGCTGTCTGCCTGCCCACCTTTGCTGTCGTTCGTCTGTCCAGTTTCTGCATTCGAGCAGGACATGTCGCACGGTCTGAGGTCCATAGCCGCACTGGCATTTGTCGGTGTCTGCTTTGTTGATGGCGTGGAGATACGCTCCAAGGCCAATCTTGCCCTTGCGCATCTGCGTGATCACAGAGCTGACGGCCCTGTATGTCCCGCGGCACAAGTCGAGTGCAGTTTTCCCGGGCTTGACCCCAAGTCGGAAGAGCTCTCTTCCGTGCTTGGCCATTTCCCAGGAAGCTGCCCACTCGGCTCGCATGGTCTTGTGGATGATGGTCTTGGTGGGTGCCATGAGAGTACGCAGGGAAGTCGGCTCTGATGGATCCCCGTGCTTTCGGGCGGCGTCTTTGGCTGCCTTATCGGCGGCTTGCCGGGTACGCCTACATGTGCCGGGATCCATCGGAGCTGCACATCCCATCCTTCGGTCCGGATTTTGTCGAGTTCTTGTATGGCCTCCGCAAGGATATACTGAGCGGATGGGTGCTTTGGATTTTGCATAGCTTGAATGGCGGCCTGGTTGTCGGTAAAGATAGCACAGCGGCCTGGACGTGCACCCGCCTGTGAGGCCTCCGCCAACAATCGCAGTGCTAGGACCAGCCCTTTTAGCTCTGCTGCGTACACGGTAGTCATGTCTGATGTGCCCAGGTACTCAACTTTCCTAATATAATCGCGGTTGTCCTGCGCCAGTATTGCGGCAGCCCCGACGTGGCCGTCAATGCCGCTGCCATCAGTGTACTGTAATGTATTATGTTTTTGCTCATGGTATTTAGATAAAAGCTTCGAGGCTCAGGAATTCGGACATGTGCCGTGACGCGCTAATCACTTGCAGAGCTCACGATGGAGCCAGGAAACTAAAGCAGGTCAACACTTTATGCACTTACTTACCATGCTTGTCATTTCTCTTCTTTCCGCAGAAAAACCACAGGCTCGCGTAGGAAGCCCCTAACGACCACAGATTTTGGACATTGCCCAACCCAAACTGCAAAAAAGCGTGCACGGCTAGGTACTTAATGAGCCGGGTTCTAAAAGAAACGTAGCGCTATAAGTTGGGAGTCTACTGCTAAAAGACGCTACTTTCATTTACCTTAAAAGTTCTGCCACGCAGTGACCCTCTATGCCGAATCGTACCAATCAATTTTTTGATGGTCGTCTTTATTGGCCGTCAGGGAAAAGGGTATTCTGACATTAAGAAAGCTAGATAGCGATGAAAGACCGAGTGAGAGCCAGGGCAGGTGTGTGTCTCAGCTCAGTGGGAGCAAAGTTTACACCACCGGCCACCTACTTGGAGCGTTACACCCTCCGTAGCGCCTTGAATTCCGAGCTTCTCAGACTCTTTAAGAAGCTTGCTAAACTCTAGCATTGTTCACTCATAGCTTCGTATACTGAGCATGCTTTATATTTGGCCTACGCGAACCTGAGAGTTCATAGGCTCAAGAATGTTTCATTCGTGAATATATACACGCCGTAGCAACTCTCCGACCTGGATCTCCCCTTATTTCCAGAGAGCAAACAAGCCTATACCAACGCGGACCACCTCATCGCTGCCCACACCCCAAAACTTTCGAAGCTCTTAAATTCAGCCTCTTTCGGGTCCCAAAAGACATTCCCTAACACAATCCATAAGTCCGCTCCTTATGATGTGATCAGATGGCGTGCTGCTAGCAGCTTCGCGTTCGGCAATGCTAGAAAGTTCAGCGCAAACTTTCTTCAGCCGATCAGGCACAGCATCCAAAGCATTCAAAACTAACTTTCGAAATGTTGTCTTATCTGCTTTCGAAGGAGACTTCCTGTGGAGAATTAGCTATAAATTACTCTTTGAATTTGTAATGCGCTTACGCAAAAGACTCCGCAGTTTTGGAGAAAGCGAGCAGTAAAAAGGGTGAGTAGCGAACAGCGTCTTTCCAACGGCTGCCGATAAGTCTGAGACGACGCAAATGGGTTGTAGTGGCGGGAGTGTCTTGCGCGTTACGATAGAGCTCATATGCTAGCGCAGCATTGGTGCGGTGGCTTTCTGGCTCAATGAGCCTACGCTTCTTGACACGTTCTATCTTGCTCCTCAGTGATTCAAGAAAATGGAATAGCTGTACATATCCAAATCTAGGAGGCGGGTATGGCTCATCCTTGCCGCTAATGACTCCGTCAAGGGCACGAACAGCCGCGGCAAGCCGCTCGAATGGTGCCAAAAGGCGCTATTTGCGTAATGCTCAACAGCGCCATCCAGGCAATGAATGTCGCCTCCCATGTCTGCGCAAAACTCCGTGTGGCATCGAGTTGCACAAAATTCTTGCTTAGTTCAAGTTTCGCATGCATCGGGATAATTCGCTTTCGCTTCGACTTGGTAATTTTGGAATTGTGGCGAGCCTTCTGGGGGGTTGCTATAGCAAATGCGTCTATCACTTGGTTAGCCGTACTGCGTCGCGATGCATACTTAACTTTGAAAGGATAAAGTTGCAGGAAAACAAGCTATCACGCGCCTTGTAACGCGACTTGGTTGCGACTTGTATCAGAATAATCCAGCATCTCGATGTCCTCATTGCTGTCGGGGCTGCCACTATGAACATTTTCATCTAGGGCCACGGTGACACAGTCAGTTGTGATGTTGTTGCTCTGCAAACTCAGCGCCGCCATGCGTTCGACTAGCTCATCGATGTTTACGCAAGCCATTAGTACAACTGAGTTTCCTCGTTTACAAGTTTCACAAAGAACACAGAAGAAGGTATACACTCGGCTATTTCCAATATATACTTAAGTTCTTTTTCATCTAAGTCTCCACCCCCTGGCGATCCAGACCGGAGCACCAAAAGAGGTCGGCTACGGAGCGACAAAAAGATTACGAGAATGGCCCGAGCGTGTAACTGCCCAGGCAAGGTTGGCAGACGAACAATGTTGCCTAACATTGCCTCGCAGACGTTTTCAACGAGGGGATCTCCTGGAATTGCTGAGGGTCAATTCGCGCAGAACTTGTTCGCGTGTAGGGGGTGGCGGAATCGATGCTTGTTGTAAGCGTACAGCATTCTACATACGACGTCCGGTCAAAGCTGGCATGGAGAAGCCAGTGATGCGAACGAATACATTCTCCGATTTTCTGCACCTGTATGCATAGTATGCACCAGATTACTAATTTAATGTATACAGAACGATGAATACCCCTTTCAGATCCCTTTGGATAATACAAATTGTAGCCAAGGAAAATAACATGATTCCTCATCCACAACGTCCATAATTAAAGGTAGGTACTTCATACGCCATTCATCTTGAAGCTCGGGGCTGATACATTGTGAGTCCAGCTCCACGCGGCGCGCCTTGCAATACTCCCAATAATCAGGGTACCATCCTGCCTGAGCCCAATCAATGATAGCAACCACCGTTGGATCCGTATCTGTGGAAAGAATAATATTCGGTGCGACAAGATCTGCATGTGTGAAGACGATAGACGTGTGCTGAGCAACGTCAATGCCACAGGCATGGTGGAATTGCTCGATTGCATCCGGTCCTTTGAATGGGCCAACAAGTTCTGGGCGTTTTTGAAGGAAGATATCACCGAGAGGTTGTCCGTATGAAGCACCTATTTAACTGGTCAGTGGTGGAACAACCCTACAGGTATTTTCTGAGGCAGATCACCAACCAATGTAACATTCGTGGTTGTCCTGCGTTAAGCTTCGCCACGAATCAACCATGCACCTCAGTTGGGCGCACACAGAGCGTCTGTTGACTTCACCTAGGTTTTCCCATCTCGCTTCCAAAGTGTCTCCCTCGACCAGCTGCATGTAAATGAAGACTTGGCCTTCATCCATGGTCCATCCGAACACTTCAGGAATAGGGACTTGGCCACCCAACTTCTCGCGGACCATCATTTGGGCCTTTGCTTCCCGAGCAGTAACATCGGCTCCGTACTTGACAAGTAGGCCAAGTGACGGGATGCGTACCGGGGGCGGGCGATAAAAGTCCCCTGCACGCACGCCGCCTGAGTTGCCGTTCAGCAATCTTATTTCGTTTGGGGAGGGGAGCGCACTAGCTCGCCCTTCACGAAAAAAACTGCTGTGGTTGACCTTCACAGGGTCTAGCACGGCGCTGTGGAGGTATTCTTTTGATGGAGTCATTGAGATTCAGAACGCCGATGGCCGAATAAAAGTTAGGACCTCCAAGCGCCTTCCAAATTATAGGTGCATAAATTAGTATATGAAAGGTCAAGGAATGGCACCGAGGGTAGTTGGTGGGCTATGGACGACTTAGCGGGCGCCACAGGACTGCCAACAGTATTACGTATCAGAACTCCTCTTTTAGCTTGTCGACCCCGCTCATGAGCACCCACCAACCAAACTCTCGAAGCAACGAATTTCAGTTTGCCACAGCCGCCGTGGTGGAGTGGTGATCTACTTGACACAAGTTGTCTGCAGCATCTGGCCTCTCATATCTTTTCGCTAGCCGCCGCAGAACTTCACGTATTAGCTATGCTAAAAGTCTAGGATTCCGTGGGCTTAGATGACGCGTCGCGACGTCAATGGGGTGAGCCTTGTAAACTATTAATTAACTGATCCTTCGCCTCCTTGTCAATAGAAAGTCCATTGACTATGAAAGAGAATTGTTCTGCAAATTATCAAACCAGTGCCCTTGTTTACTTTGCTTCATTGCTATGTCTTCCCGAGCACCTCCCCCTCCACCCCCGCCCCCAGCGCCTAGCGGCAGTCGCCGCTCTGCTGCTGGCGATCCTGTATTGCCAAAGCCGCCATCTGTTAGCCTTAAGGGGCCTGCTGGAGCATTTCTCGTTGAGCTGCTTATTTACAATGGCTCCCCGTTCAAGGACCACTGGGCATACTGGATCTGTTCACATCATGACCTAGAAACCGGTGTCCTAGTTCATGCGACCGGAGACGTTAGAAACGGATTCCAGTTCGAGATCAAGCGCAGCCATGATTTTCGCGCCACAGGAAACAGACCCAGCAAGAGGATCCCGCTTCAGTGGGTAGACGGCGAATACTTCAATGAGGCAGCCATGTTCAACCATGGCATACGCAAAATTGATACTCTACCAGTTTGCGCCTTTGAGGCTAGTCTTCACAAGATCGAGGCTCCCGGGAAGACACTGAACACAGTGGATGATAAGGTAAGTCTGCAAATTCGTTACCGATAACAATACCATGTTGTTGGCCTCGTAATTTTTTTTCTCATTGATGGATTATATAGACTGCGCCAGGAAAGAAAATCACGCAGAGGAACTGTCAGACTTGGGTCATCGAATCCGCAAATCAACTTGTTATGGACAGTATTCTTACACCAGCTGTCGTAGCATATCTTCGCGGCATCGAGCAGTAGTTTCAAATGGACGGCACGGACGGGTGTATGGATGAGGGCATTGATGTTGCTAGCGAGACTTTGGAGAAATTCAACGAAGACCAGTGTACCATTCCAAATTGTACCGTAAAAAGATTTTCAAAATATGGGTAGTATGCAGAGTGGACCGTCTGCGTCGAAGACGGATAGCAGAACGATAAGAAACAGTCAAGTTGAAAACAATGCAACATAAACATGACTAAAATCATCCATGAACGCCTTGGTCTCCGACCCAGCATTGAACTTTTATGGGTGCGTTTCCAGGCTAGGCTAGCCAATCAAGTACCCTTTTCCCCTCTTTGCTTTTCTCTCCTCCAAGTTGCCCCGTCCACCATGCAAGCCCGAATCCAACTCCAAAAAGACAACGGGGAAGAGCGTAGGGAAAATCCGCAGCCACCATAGCGTTCGACCAATACCTCGCTCTTTCAGGCCTTAAAGCCAAGATAATTGGTCAACGCGACTTGTCCTATAAGCTCAAGATAGGCCGCCGTTGGAAGAAACTTGCCAGCTCATCGGGTCTCTTATTGCTTGCTTTCTCTGATGCCGCCGAGGATTTCGTGTAAGTGCTGCGTGCTTACTGTGCCGATACATTCGAGCTAACATATTTTTTCAGCAAGAGGGATAACATAAACCCGTTCACTCTGTGTCCTCTAAGAGGTTTTGCCAATGAATTTACAAGATTATTCCGAAAAATCTCTTGCATACGTGCATTCAAGTCTCGGGGATGGCAGAAATGGCGGTCAGGATTGGGAAGGGCTGGGATATTCCACGCGTGAAAGAGTTCCGGTACCAAGTTTCAAAGCTTTTGCAATTCGCTGAATGATGCTAGATACTCTTTCGTTTGATAGTTATGCTAAAAAGTATATGGAAGACCAAGCCTGCAATGTCCTCAGTGTATAACCTCAGCTCATCAACGACGAAATGAAGGATACCTCTGTACGTCTGCTCCGCTCAAAACCGTTTGATCTAAGCGTATCCAACGGAAGGAAGGCTGCAGCGCGCCGTGTTTTATGGCTTTAAGGTGGCAGAAGGCTCGAGATGCTCTTTAGGTAGCTATAGATGCCCCATTGTCGAGTTCAGATGATGATTTGACGGATTTTTAGCTTAATTTGCTACGAGGCAGTGTCACGGGTTAGACCCTGAAAGAGACTTGGCCTGACGACCTCGTTGCGTTGTCCAGGGCTAGGGTCAGTGCGCACCCCAAATATTTGACGAGAGATCCCCTGGTCCTCTCTTCTTATTTCCTCAATTCTTCCTCTTTGTACCAAGATCGCTTAGATAGATTGAATAAATCGTCCAGACCAAGAGGATGATGTGGATTTCTATGCCTGTGGAACCTTGCCCGTTACTTAGCAGGAACGATTCTTTCCCACCATCTGGATTGTGGGAGCAACTTGCGTATAGTTACACGCTGTGCCAGAAGGTGGCTGGGACAGTCTATGAGTTAATAAATAAATAAATAAATAATGAACTCTCCTAAGGCACTTAGGCGGCTTTGTAGCGGATTGTTTAGGTAGCACTGAGCGCTTGACCGATCTATCTAATTGGCTATACTGGCAACTAGCTGCAACAAGTTACTGGCGCCGTCGACGGGCTCCACAGTGAGAGCGTTCAGCGCGGCTTTTTTCCCGTGCCATCAGTCGCTGCACATATTACAGCCTCCCTTGGTACGATGCAGATAACAGCGTGCAGCCCACGTCACCGTCCTGCCATTTACGAGCAGCTAGATTCAAGGCGTGGCCAGAAGGCGCCAATTAGTGGTTCAGGATCGGCTAGCTAACTTTAGCCCAAGTTGCTGGCAAAAATCGTCGGCGTACTCCGCACCGTGGGCGGTTAGTCGACTCTCCAGCGCGTAGATTGCCAGTAACAACGTGCAGAGTTCCTGCAGGTTGCCAGCAGCTAGATTTAAGGCGTACTGGCAACTGGCTGAGATCAGTTGCTGGCGCTCGCCTGGTACTGGCAGCTGCACAGTAGGAGTTGCCAGCGCCTAGCCAGTACCAGCAGCTTTCACTCGACTGCTACCAGCGCCTATCAGATACCAGTACTTTGACAGTCAGCGTTACCAGCAGCAGGCCGCAGCGATATACCAGCAACCACCCGCCCTCATTTGACCGTAAGGCTGGGCGTTACTGGCAACACCCTTCCCTCAGTCCGTAGGTACCAGAAACTAAATTTTGGCCTTATTTATTTATTTATTTATTTATCACCGGATACCTGCGTTAAAACGTACCGGGAGGAAGACGTCACTGGAAACTGTGGTGATGCTAGATGTAACACACCGCCGTCGTCGTAGGAGTCTACGACTTTGGCGATGCTACCCTCGCATACGCATATTCTCCAAGAAGGTCGGCTGTCGGTAACAATTAGCTTCACACGGAGTAAATATATAATGTAAAGTACTTCGTCACACCTTGCACTTTGGAGTCGGGTGCAAGGCGTGTAATCAGCCGAAGGCTGCGAGTCTGTAAACCTGAACAAGTAGTCGAGCAGTTGCGCAGTTGCGCAGTCACCAAATAGTCATATGCCTACTATTACGTGCATTTACGGAGAATTTTCCTGTCACGGACGGCATCGAGTCAAGTTACGTAGCCATCCTATAAGGATTCTGCGTGGGGACTTGTCGCTTTCGCAGTTGCTGATCCCGTATTTTCATCTTCATTCCCTCTGGAGGCGACACGTATGTAAGATGACTGCCGTCAAACGGCCCATCCAGCATCAGACCCTGCAGCGTTTTCACGCGCGACACGGCCACGTAGCTCAGTCCCTCGGCTGGGACAGTCTATGAATAAATAATAACAAATAAATAAAGACTTAGATAAGTCCTCGCAACCCACCCGTAGCCCACTGTAGATACCAGCAACGAAATTTAACGCCCAGCTCACTATACTGGCAACTAACAGGCAGATTCAAGATAAGTACTAGCAACCCACCCGTAGCCCACTGTAGGTACCAGCAACGAAATTTAACGCCCAGCTCTCTATACTGGCAACTGGCTGCAACAAGTTACTGGCGCCCACCACATCAGCAGCTCATTAGCGTAAGTTGCCAGCGCCTAGCTAGTACCAGCAGCCTGCACTTGAACACTGCCAGCGCCTACCTGGTACCAGTGCTTTAGCGGCCAGGGTACCAGCAACAGGTTCATCAATGCGCCAGCAGCCACCCGCCCATGCCTTGCCAAGTACCAGCAACCGCAATATTGCTCGTACTTGTTACCAGCCCTAGCTGCTGAAGCGGGGTCTTTTTTCCAAATATGTCTACTACATACCAGCAACAAACTCGCGGTCTATGTGCAGCTAGGCGCCGAGGGAGGAAGACAAGCATGATCCCGCGACAAGTCGCGAACTGGAGTGGGTGAGGTGAGGATGCCCCTGCAATGTCAAGAGGTAGAATCAGTCTCCGCAAGGGTCGGGAGATATCCAAGGGGTCGCTAGCCGTGAGGGAGTCCGAGGCGTGGAGCAAGTCGATCATCCTTACCAGCGGAGCTAGCTAGCCAATCTAGCAATCAAAGGCATTATTAATTATTAACCCACCTTGAACACGCTAAGCGTAGACGAGTGATAAACCACTATACCCCATGACCAGGTACGCATGCGTACTTTTTGGTCAAGTGTATGGCAGCTATGCAGCGCATGATTATAGACACATTGCTCCCATAATCCAAGCGATCAGTCTTTCTTGCGGGAATCGGTGCTTGCCAGGCTGTTCCTATGTCTGTGTCCGCTTTATTGAGGTGCGCGCCCAGGCCCATCTTGCCGGTACGCATCTGCGTGATTGTTTGTTTGTTTGTTTGTTTGTTTGTTTGTTTGTTTGTTTGTTTGTTAATTCATAGACTGTCCCAGCCGCCTTCTAGCAGCTATGCAGCGTGCAACTATAG